TCGTTCGCCTTTAACCTTGATGCAGGCTTCCTTACCCCACTGGATCCATTTTTGCAGTTGGCTGATTTTAACCTGTTTCTGCTTATTTCCTCTTTTGATAGTATAGACGGTACCATGTTTATCGGTGACAGTGTAAGGCTCTTCCCACTTCGGAAAGATTTTCCGTAAACCTAGCCCACATCTTACTGCGTAATTTCTCTCTCTGCACTTTACTTGATCGCCGACCTCAAAGGTTCTGCATTTCGCCTTTTCTGCTTGTCCTGATTTCGTGGTGTCTTTCTTCTATTGAAGCTTTACATTCCTGATGGCTTCTTTCCGTTCCGTTCGCAGCATTGTCGTGTTCCACTCTTGGTAGAAGGATTTGCTTGTGCTGTGTATTAGTAGCCATGGTTTCCCACATACATCAACTGAAATGGTGACTTCTTTTTCCTCCTTGGGTGGACGCATGGTGTGCTAGTAGAATCGATGGAAGCTCCATCTGGCAGCTACCTCCCTTCGAGGAGGCCAGCCACTACTTCAGTGTACGGTTATTTTGGATGATATGGTGTTGATCTAATCTTCTTGATACTCAGCTGTTGCAAACAAAACAAGGGCCCAGATGTGTCAATATCGTCATTGGTACAACGTGGTCTGCAACGATGATTCAAAATACTGCGTCAGTCAAGGTTCTCGCACGTTGATCACGGATCGTGAAGGCGTATTCCGTCATCACCAAGAGGTAATGATTGCTACTGAGTGTCTCGGAAATTCAAGTCATCACAACTACGACCACAAGTGATCTAGTGCCATAACTAGAATTGACTGCAGAGGCACTGTGGACATCAAAATAGATATTTTGCCGTATATTCTCACATTCCTGGCCGGTACATATTTTGTCTCAAGAAGTCGTTTGTCCTAGATACTCCTGTATTCACTAGCTGGTGACATTCCTGTATCATCTCATGGAGTAGATACTGAGGCATCACCGCAAACCAGCTTCCATCGTTCTCTCACCCAGTCAGAGTTCCGTAGACGTACACTCGTAATCGATGCTTCTGCCTGAGAAGCGGAGTCAGATCCTTACTCCCTGTAGGCTGATTCACTTCTATTCCGGTAGTGATCACCTTTATGACCGAATTCAGGGTAAGGTCTGATTTCTGACTTCAGGGAAATCTTAATGGGTCTTATTTCGATGCATACACGCTACAAACAATCTCCGGTAACTCAGCTTTGTCTTCTGGTCTAGTTAAAAAGTCTGCCAAAATTTTTCTTTTCCAGTGATGTGTAAGATTGTGAAGCCACACTCCTCCAGCTGCAGCATCCATTGGTACGATTTCTCACGTCGCTGCTCTCCACAGGAACTGTCTTAGCTTTCTCATCGAATTTGGGGCAAAATAGTCATATATATATGGAAATGTATTCAACCACACCTGTCCGTGAACCAGTATTCAGTATTATGCATCAACGCTTAGTATCTTGACCAACATCTACAGAATCAAGTAGATGACACTTTATAATTTGAAAAATTTCGGCTTCAAAACCGAAATAATCCTCTTGAATTATGTCAACTGTGAATTATTTTGTAAACTGCGATTGAATTTGCGCATTCCTCTTTCCATTTATCAGAATATTTCGCCGACTTTCTCTAGCGAATTTCTTAGTAACCCTTAGATTCACACTGAAACTTACTCACAAAGTTAGCTGATATCCCTTCATGCAAAACACGGAAACCATTAAACTTGAAGATTATTGTCAAGTGTTATTTTTATTTATTTACTTTTTATTTTGATTACAGCTTGATGCCACACCGTATTTTCAGTACAAGTATGCAATTTTCAGCATGGATATCGGTAGCCCAAATTTCACAGACCGACCATAGATATCGGGTGTGCGCCGGCAGGGGATCGAACCCCGGACCATGTGCATGGTCGGCGAGAGTCCTAACCACTGTGCCACCATCGCACATCAGTCCTCAGTCATCGAATGACTCACTTCGACTTCTGTTTCTATGCACAAGCTCGTCTTGTTAGTATTTCGTATCTATGCCAGTTACACATATTCTACAATCTGTTCTTTCAATTAACGTACTTACTTACTCACTTACTAATTCCACATGTGCTATTCGATGCATTAATCCAATATGTTAATGAGATTTAAATAGTAATAATAATAATTTGCTTTATTCCAGAAACATCACTTTTGGTACAGTGTGGAATTTTCAGCACATATCTACAATATTTGCATCTAATTTTATCCAACGTTTAAAAGGAGTATTTCAAAAAAATAAATATAAAGACACTAACAGCAAAACAAACACAGAAAACACAAAAGAAAATTTTAAAAAATGCGAAAAAATACCAAGAAGTAGAAAGGAAAATAAACAGCATATAATAATATCTCAGAATTGGGTAGTGGAAGCTATGATATGACTATGCATGGTGACAGTAAAGCTATAGTCATACAAGAAGTTATGAAATGATATTTAAGAATGTTTTTCGCCAAGATGATCAGTTAATTTGATTGAACAACACTAAACAATCATAAAATAACATTTCAGGGTTGTTATTTGGTTTTTTATTGTCAGGTGTAATGCAGTGTTTGTAGTGGTAGTGTGAGTAATCCTGCATAATACAAAATTTAAATATGGTGACAGTGGCGTTCACAACCAATGAATGTCAGTTAATATTGCCGAAAGAAATAAAAAATAAGAAAAAACAACTACAAAACTAATAATTACATGATGGTTAATGACAGGAAAATTTTGTAATACTCATATTGCTAATAGAGTCGGAACCAGTGGATACACAATAGAGGGAATATAGTAAAGTACAAAAGGAAGCCAATGTTAATAATTTAGGTAGCCAAGTATGTTTGAGAAGGAGTTCACTGTAGAATACAAAATAAGAGAAAAATAAAAGAGCCTGAATTTGTGTTATTAACAAGAAAGCAATTCAAAGGTTTAGCGCTTAACATTGTCTCTGCCACTTAGAACACTGTCCAAGTATGATATCGTTGAGTTCCTGTACTTGGTTGCACGAGCATAGATTATTTTATACCGATTTCTGGCTTTACTTGATGAGATACAAGGCGAGAGTTGGGAATAGATGAGGTGTTGGGGGTCTGAGAGTATGGTTTTTGACCATTTTTCTCATGTATTCAGATGCCTATCAACTAAAGTAGTCACGAGCTGACTGAGTTTTACACCACTAGTCCTACTAACTACCTTCAACATCCTTCTCTGGATTGTATAGTCCTTTTCCAGTAGCCTAGGAAAGACTAACGGGAAGCAGTAAAGTAGAATAGGTAAGATACAAGAGTTGACAAATTGTGAAAGTAGAGATTGGGTGATTCCAGATTCTCTAAGTTTCTTAATTTAGTAGGCAAGACAGAACACTTTCTTAGAAATCGTTAGGATATGAGATTTTCTTCTATCTGTCAGTCATTTGCACTGCGTTCTTCAATCACAATTCATCCAATCAAACTGCAGATGTCTAGACATGTAAATATATTTTTAAATGGTTCTGAAACCACCACTTTAATCAATTGATTCAGTGCAAAGTGCTAAGTCTGTTATGTGTAATATTGATCAGTGAGGTAACGTATGACTATTAATGACCAACACGTGAATACTTTTGTGAATTATCTGTCACTTGGTAATGTTTGAGTAAATTGCACTTGTGGGAATGTTTTCAAACCAAATAAAATAATCAGTCATCCCTCGATCACTCAGACTATAAATACATTAGTGAGCAAATAAATTCGATAAATATATTTTAACAAACAACTTCATAGAGTTCAAAACATCTTCGACGAGATATGCTGGACAAAATTTTGAAGATGACATAAAAAATCTCACAAAAGCTTTGCTACAGAAAGACTATCCTACCAACTTCGTAAAGAAGTATATCAATGAAACTACACACAAAACTAAGCGAGACACTAAGTAAGAAAAAGCTTTACTTAAATTTACAATTCAAAGGCGATATATCCAGCGATATATTAAACCGTAGATAAACGAGAGCAGTTGAAAGAACTTTCAGTGCCGCAAAACTGCATTTCACTTTCTCAACCAAACCGATATTGACACTGTGCATTAAAGATAGATTACCCAAAATGACGACATCAATGTGTGTATATAAATTCAACTGCTCCTGTGGAGCAAGTTATATAGGTCGTACCCAAAGGAATTTATCTTTACGCACTCGTGAACATATCCCGGTCTGGCTTGGGAAAAGAGCGACCAAATCATTAAATAGTGCAATTCTGGCTCATCTAGTGGATAGCGAACACAGCATCAAAGTAGATGAGTCATTTACAGTTGTGTATCGAGTACCAAACAATCTCCCCAAAGGCACACGATTACGCCTCCTAGCCATAGCTGAGGCTTAAGAGATTAATAGAGAAAGACCAGACCACTATAAGGTCACCAGGATCATAATTTTCCGTATTATTATTACCATTATTATCATTCTGTGATATCATGTCTTTATTATCCATTTCTCCACCCAGTTTATTTCACCTCATCGTTACCCTTAATTTTGTCAACCTTTGTGATTTTACTCTGAGCCTACCAACTCTGTAACATCTTATTACAATTTACTATTTAGCCTCTTTATTTTATCATTAGACATTATCGGTCAGCCCTCACATTCAGTGTCCCCTTTGTTAATGTGTGTTTGTGTGTATTTTGTGGCTATCGCATTTCTCTCACCCCAATGACACTTGTACTCTGTTGACTATAAAACAGCACTATATCACCCAATTGTTCATTCACACTTCATCACATTTTTCTGACTATACACCCTATACACATTTGATTGATTATGTTAATTAATAGACTATCATCTCAACTTACGCATGCACCTCAATACAGTTTCTGATATTATTTTCATTTGCCTTTATTGGCTGTATGTACCCTATTATTCATGGATTTATAACTGTAGAGCCTGAAGAAGAAGTTATCGAAAACAATTGTTCGCTCAAAATCTTGTTTTGATTTCAATATGGGGATATTTCATTTACTAAAATTTTGTTTGATTATTCATCACTTGAATTCGGAGATGAAGAGCCTTAGTCTCCACTTCATCTGGTGAGATTACTGAAGATTTCAGATTAGACAGACTATGCCTTTGATATCCTGATGACCATGTTGCAGCGAATTCGGTATTCTCTGTCGCTTCGTCACATCCCTCATGCCAAAATAAATGTGGATCGGATGACTGATACATGCAGGTTGACGTGGAATTGACATTCAGTGCTGATTCTCCACTCATGTTATAATAATACCTCCAACCTCATCGATCTAGCCTATCACTTCCACTAGGATGGTGATCATCAAACCTCGGACGTTGACTGTGGTGACTATTCATATGATGATACCAAATATAGATAGTAGATTTTATTCATGCTTAGTAGTTTTTATCACTCAGCTGAAGTTGATCAAATAAGTAGAAACACAAAACTACGTTCAAGTTGTTGGTCAGTGGATTTACTATAAGCTCAGCTATTAGCAAACATTTGAATTTACCAACACTCAGAAATGGTTACCATTAAAAAATTAAAATGACAATCGCTTAGAAACAAGAACACTGTTCAACGGGGTAAGGCCTTCAAAGTATTTACAAAGTGTAATTTAAAAAGAGGAATTTGAAAAGAAGAAATAGGACGATGATGAACGGTCTTGTATGGGTTAAAGACGGTTAACATTTAAGATCGCGATACTGAGAGGAATTGGATGAAGACATCATTCACGTACAGTTAAGGGTTTCCATTGTGCATATTAAATGCTTCTGCTATGTACAGCGAATGTAACCAAAGACTCTTCGAATGACTTCGGCTTACTTTACACACTACTTTGAAAGATTTTTGTACTGACGCGAAATGATCTGTAGCAATAAGGTGCTCAAGAATGGAATGAATAGCTGGCTAACTTCCACAGCTTTGTTCCACTAAGCAGAAGAATATGCCTCATCGAATCTCCTCCCACAAGTACCAGTCGTATATGCACCAGAACACACTAAATGGAAAACTTCAGGCTTCCTGTGACTCTTTAATTCAGAATGGTTATCCATCAGCGTTTATTACTAAATACATGAAACGTAATATGGATAATCCACAACAGACAGACAGAAGTACCAAAGAAAGAGGCACTAGTAAACTAGAAATTTGAAGATAACACAGCAGTTGAGATCCTTTGAAATAGATTATCGATAGCAATTCGAAAAACATTCTTTGCTGCATCTTTACGTTTTTTATCTTCTTCGCGTAACCTCGTATTCAACAAAAAATCACCTGCAATATTCCACTGTTTGTTTTTATTTCAAATGAGACTCCCTAATTGACTGATTGGATGGAATATTCAGCATCTTCTGAGATGTAGGCTACTAGTAGAGAGGCTGAGATGATTCCTGAGGATTTTGACTACTAGGGGAACTCAAGATGCTCATTTCATCTTTTTTCGATTTCCTAACCTGGATTTTCTTGGATTTCTCCAGTGGCTGATACTGTACTCCATGAGAATTTTCCAGATATCTTGGACAGGAGTTGAATCATTCGTATTACACATATTTGCATTTGATACGATAAACGAAGCATCCGTTATCAATCTCTCTCTCCACTCTATTGCTTTAGATTTTAAAACTGTCATCTTCTCCCATCCTATAAAACGAAAGTCTCGAAGTTGTGTGTCTATAATTGACATGATTATGAACAGCAATAAATTGTGTTCGAAACATCGTCTTCCAGTGAATAATAATACTGCTTCACTATGTGATGCACCTAATAATCAAACCTCTTAGGTAGAACGTTAGACGAAACATCTTTCGAAGAACTAACTTGATGTGGTGAGACCTATAAAGATCAGAGGAAAGACATTATCGAAAAGTTTTCAACTCTCATACTTTTTGATTCGCGTAACATACAAAACTTTTTAAATAAGTTTATCAATTAGAGAATTATTTAATTTTCAACCTTCCTTTTTATTCTACAAACTACAGTTTAACTCATCCGTTATTTTTCGATAACATTTCGGAAATCCAATGTTGCATCCTAGATATACTTTGAAATAACTTCAGAGATTTCAATGTTTTCAACTGACAATCTATTCCAGTATTACACAAAGCAAGGAACATAATATAAAGATATATACTTACATAAAAGATAGGCAGTTACGGCTTTTCAGATTCTTATTTCCAATGTCTTGCTGCTTAATGACATTGAAAGCTATGTAAGCCAAACTACGACTCAGCAAGCATCGTCATAATCTATGTGTAATTGTGTGACATAAGAAGATTTGGTGCATGAAACCAACCTGTATATCTAAGTAATCTAACCTAGAGTTACCTCAGTTCTACGGAATAAATGCGAACGTATCCATGAGGTCAAATAAAGTGTTCTTGTTTAATGTTGACATTATCTTCAACTGTTAACATTGTCATACATTGAGCAAATGGATGTGGTGAATCCGTGGTATGCTACTCTGTCCATACCATGTTGAAGGGAGTGGATGACACTGGATATTATCACAGGAAGCTCAACATTGAAATCACTGCTGAGCATTTTTTCCCTTCACGTTCCCCAGTGGAACATAGGGCTTCAAGCTAGTGGCTTGAAGTTTCTTTAGTAGTGTTTATTTTACGGGATGGGATTGCTAGCCTCATGCCCAACCTTTCCTCTTTACCAGCATTATTTCTGGCTTAGCGAGGTAAAGGAGTGCGCCGGCCAGGGATCGAATGCCAGACCACGTGCATGGTCGGCTAGCGTCCTAACCGCTATGCCACCGACGCACGCTGAGCATTTAGCAATCCCTTTTTTTCTCGGTACGCCTACATTCATCACTACAGCATTAGCATCCTTGTCGCCACACAAAAGTGGGACCTGTGAACCAAAGATGAGGAGTCATATGGAATCGATAGTGTCTTCATTCATATGAAAAGATATTCTCTCATTCGGTCTCAGTTTTCTCTGTAAAATATACTTGAAGTTATATCAAAAATGCATTTTTGGAATATAATGCCAACGCTGTCTGCACTTCATGGTCTCCAATCTTTCGATCTCTGTAACTTATTCTGTTCGTCAATGTGCTAATCGCGGTAAAGACTGATCACTTTTACGTAATTTGATATACAGCTTATGTAAGTGACCTGGGCTAAGGGAAAATGTGTTATGTGATAACTATCGTTAGTGTCTTTACGAGGAAAATGGACTGTTATTATATCCAAGAAGCCTATTTAGAGAAAAAAACTGAAATTACAAGGTGTACATGTGTTATTTTAAAATTTGTACCTAGAAATATTATTTTCATTGTATAATCTACTTGTGCTTAGTAAGCAGACAGATCTAGTAATGGAGACGATTTGTAGCTCACGTGGATGATACTGAATTAGTTTTGTCCTCTATGCTGGTTGATTTAATTACGAAGCTTTTGTCTTTCACCTTCTAGACAACATCTTTAGAGCGGGTTTTTGTATAAAACGGCCTTATTTAAATTCTTCAGGAATGATGAAATTATATCTCCTGGCAACCACTGTCGTGACTAGTTGTTAATTTACGTCTTTATTGTTCATTTTCTATTGACCTGGGGGTTCGTAATTTCATGTCATGTGATTTGCTTCTTATTAGCTGGTAAATCTGGTATATAATAATATGTTTGTTAATTACAACAACTAGCTAGCTCACATGGTTCCACTATCATTGACGGCATAGAGGTTAAAACTACATCTAATTTCAAGTACCTTGGACTGAGTATTTCCTCCGATCTTTCCTGGTCCTCTCACATCTTGCTAGTGACTAGAAAGATGTTTCGCTTAACGTTCTACCTTGAGAAGTTTAGGCAGTCTGGTATAAAGCAGTCTTTGCTTTCTCAATTTGTCAATTCCTGTATTCTACCCATCCCTCTTTGCTGCTCCCCATTAATCTTCCCTGGACTACTTAAGAAAGACTTTGCTTAGCTGCGTAGGGCACTAAAAGCTGTTAGTAGGGCAAGTGGGATTTCGACAAACCAACTGGTTAACACCGTTGTGGATAGACATATAATGTCATGTAAGAAACTAGCGAATTCTATATTGTCAGACCCCGAACACCCTCTCTATACGCAGCTCTCTCCTTGCATTTCATCTGGTAGAACTAGAAGCAACTATAGGAAGCTATATGCCAGGACTACCAAGTATAAAACTCCACAATACCTTATCTGGCACAGCTGTTATCTGATGAGAAAACTGTTAGGCATGACAAGATCACCTTACTGCGGCACTCTAACAAATAGTTCCCATTAGCTTTTGTTCTCCTTTCTTTGTTACTATTATATTGTTGCTCATATATTCTATTACACACTAATTTTATATTTCATATCCTGTGGTGCACTGTTTAAATATGTGAATGCAGTGCTGTTCTTTTTTATTTCTTTTATTTCTCTTCTTTTTCTTTTGATGTTGTTGCTTTTTATTTTAAAATTCTTATAAAATTTATGAGGTAATTAGATGCAATATTGTAGTGCACGCTGAAAATTCCATACATGTACCACAACTACTGTTTGGAATAAAGCCATTATTATTATTATAATTACTAATTCACTTGAGTACCAGACTTCTAGAAATTCCCTGCCAATTTTAGTCTTTCTTCTATGTAGAATTTCTATATTATCCCGATCAAAATGGTATCCATAATTATCCATATGTAGTGATATGGAAGAATATATATTATGTCTTTCCACAGTTAATTTGTGTTTATCTGTCCAGACATTCTTTAAAAGAGTTTAAACACACTCTAGCACTCCAGCGTTGATGAGAATGGAGGAAATATACCTACTAACCCTTGTCGAAAACAATGAATACCCTAACAATTTAATGAGAAAGTGTATAAACTCGAGTCAGGACACCACCAACAACAAGCCAGCATCAAAGAACACAATAAAATACATCAAGCTAAATATAAAAGTACCTCTGAAATTATACCTCGAATATTAAGACTGTTTGAAATAGATACAGCACATAAGCCGACACCATCACTGAATTCGATATTGTGGGAAAACCAAAAGATCCAACAGGAAAAGAAGGTAAAATTAATGCCATTTACAAAATAAGTTGTATGAACTGTAACAGATATTACTTCGGTGAAAGGGGGCGTCCCCTTAGAATTTGAATCCAGGAAAGGCGTTATATTTATTCTTTCGTATCAATGTATATTGATATTTATAGATATCAGTTTGACTGAAACAATGTAGAAATTTTAAATGGAGAAAACAACAAAAATGCAGTCTGCGAATTCTTAGAAACCT